TCTGTATATCAGAGTAAGAAAATTTCCAAAAAGAAAGGTGAGCACATTTGTATTTGCCAGGAAAGTGGGCAATTTCCATTTTTGTGAACTAGGTCCAAATGAACAGAGTATAGAATTGTTATTTAATAGAACTCAAATGAACTGAACAGAGAAGGACTGCTGTAAGCTTGGTGTGATGCTCTCTGGATTTGTTACTCCTGGGAAGAAAGGAGAGGATGCAAGAGACAAATGAGAAAATCCAGGCCACTGAGCTCCACTTGTCTTTCCCCTGTTGGTTACCTAGAGGATGAGACTGGCCTAGTATGGACTAATCAGAGGCAGTCCAGGATTGGATATATGGGATTGAGAGCAAAGATGAGTGTAGAAAAGACAACAATTTCCATCAGAAGTCATCTGAGTATCTGTTCTATTGCTTTCTTAATAATGGAATACCTTACCCAAGAGACCACTCATTAAAATATTCTCAATTTCTTTCAAAATTAACTCAAACCCTTGTTTATTTGTCCTAATGAGTGCTAGGTAGAATATTTTCTTTTCCCCTCAAAGGTTGAGAACCCTAACAAAAGCCACTTTTACAAATGGTAGAATGATCTATTTATCCACTCTTACTAATTGGAAAATGTTGTGATAAATAATGGCTAAAAATCACTGGACTAAATATTTTCTAAGGTTTTTTTTTCTCCTTTAAAAGTGACTATTTGTGGCTGGGTCCAGTGGCACATGCCTGTAATCCCAGAGGCTCAGGTGGCGGAGGCAGAAGGATCGCAAGTTCAAAGCCAGTCTCAGTAATGGTGAGTCACTAAGCAACTCAGTGAGACCCTGTCTCTAAATAAAACATGAAATAGGGCTGAGGATGTGGCTCAGTGGTTGAGCACCCCTGAATTCAATCCTCAGTACCAAAAAACAAAACAAAACAAAAAAAAAACAAAGTGACTATTTGTAAAGAAAGCCCAAATGCCTACATTCTCTGCCTAGTTACTGCTCTCATTTTCCCAGAGGTAATGAGGTGATTCATATTACATACACTACTTCCTGTCCATCAAGGCTACTCTTATGTAGAAGCAGGTGACTATACATTATGATTTAAAAAGAAGACAGCCTTCTCTGAACACTTTCTTATTTTGACAAAATTCCAGCATTTATTTGAATTAATAGGCAAAAAATGCTGGGGAAAAATTAAGTGTAAGAGAGTGATTATGTACACTGTAGTAAATAAAGAAATAAGAAGGAGGAAGAAAATGAAAGGTAACTTTGAAGAAGATGCATCAGTGGTAAAATTTGGAAAAATCAGAGAGCAACATGAGGAATCAGTCTTCTAGGGGAAGAAAGGAATGTCAATGATGTATGGATACCCAAGGAAACTTGATTTCTCCCATTTTACTTGATATAAACTTTATTCCCTTCTCTCTATATAAGCTCCAGATGCAATTCAGATTTTTAGATCTTCAACATAATCATTCCTATAGCAGTAAGATAAAAAACAGAAAATAATGAGCAGAGGCATAATATTTTAGATTAGTTAAACATTGAAATCTACTTGCTATAGGGAAGAGTCACATATTATAAGCACAACATACACAACAATATAACCAGATTTATAACAAAGAAAAATCAAGATTTCATTTGTTCCCTAAAACTCCAAATGCCTACAGAAAGGGAGCTATAGAACTTGAGTTTTACACTAAACAGCTTGGATGATGAACCTAGCATATGTCAAAGAATGAATACTACTGTTCAAAACATCTCTCTACCATGACTTTGAGAATGAAATAAATGAATAACTCTGGGAAAGGTGATCTTACTTATGAACAAGAAACAAGAGATTTGTGCAATAAAATATACATTAAGAATAGGAATTTTTAAAAAATGGAAGCTTATTGTAGGCTTTCCCTCTCACAGATAAAAATTATTTTTCTGTGGCAATGGGATTCAACAATTCCAAAGGAAAGTATTATAATTCATATTGGTGGTGAATAAAAGGCTGAGTAGTGAAGAGTTAAATGAAATTAAATTAATGGACAAGGAAGCTGAAGGGAATAGAGGAAGAGAAGGGAAGCAGCCCATTAAGAATAAGTAAATAATACCAATATTACTGTGGATATTACAGTTTATTTTTAACTCTTTAAACCAGTTAGGAATTGCCATTATTATTCCTATCTGTCAAATGAGCAACCTTAAGCAAAGAAATGACTGCTTACATTCTCCAAACTATATAGTGAAATAGGCAGGACTTGAGCTATGTGTTTCATCAAAACAATGAGAGGATGGAGTTTTAATATCACCTCTTTTAAGAGATGGAGTATAGATCAAAGATTCCACAGGTTTTGTGAACACAGCTCATTTCTACTTTGTCCTAGGAGTTCCTTCGCACTAGCATAAACTTTAGTTGTATGTTTAAACTGAGCTTGTATTATTTAAAAGTGGGTAAAGAATAAAGAAGTATACTCCCTAAGGGAAAGTAACAGTGGGAAACAGCTGTGATTCAGGCACTCATTCATTTCATCTGAGGGTCAGGGTGGCAGTGGTAAAGTGTGTCTGAGAACAGAAACCAGCCAGGTACCTGGCAGAGGGATTTCTGAAGATCTTCTTGGAAAGAGCTCATTTATTTGCCAAAATACATATTGCTCTTATGTTCTGCATTCAGAGATTTTTTTTTAAATGCGTGGCAAGAGGATGGAGGCAAGAGTTTCTTAGAAAAATGAAAACGGTTTTCTAATGGAGGGACCTAAGTAATTTATTCAAACTTCCTTTTCATTCTTTCTGAGTAATATCTGTATGGAAATACCCTACTGAGTATTTTAAGAGCAGTTTATAACACGCTGTACCATTGTATATCAAGAGAGTAACCTTTTTGATTACACTATAGAATTAGCCAGAACAATTCTTTTTCTGAGGAACAAGTGTCCACTTAGAATGGAAACGTGTAAGCTCTGGCATCAATAGTTCAAACTTACCAAAAATCAATTTTTTTGTTCAATAATTTGAAAAAATCCAGATCAACAAGTTCCTTTAATGGAAAATCATGCTAAATACTTTCTAACAATAATATTCTATGTAGGAAAATATAAGAAATTATACATTTAAAGAATATCTTCTGGTTTTATGCATAATTTTGCATTTGAATTAATTATATTTCCTCATTTCTGCGAAGAACCAATGTTCAACAAAATAACAAAATGCTATACAACAGAATTACTGTGCATTTAATGTGGAATAGAGAAAATGTATAAAACATACAGTACTATAAAGAGAATGAATTTATCATACACAGTTAATAGGAACTTCCAAATTATTAAATCTATAAAATTAATTTAGGAGAGAAAATGATAATGCAGTCAATTTATAAAGCATTTAGTACACTTGCTAAGTAAAATTATGCTCCCATTAGAAAAGAAATTCTGTCAGCTTTAAAAATAGATTGATACCGTCTTATTGTGTTATAATAATATCTATTGGAGAATTTAACTTATAAAAAATGGCAATTTTTTCTGATTATACCATCATAGGTTAATTTTAACCAACATAGAAATAAACAGTAAAGTGCTGAAAACAAAAGGGGAAAGTAAAATAGAAATCATGAAAAATAAAAATAAGCAATTATTTACACATATAGTGACAATAATTAAATAATTCTAGTCTTTAGAATTGTAAAGAATGGAAATAGAGATTTTCCAAAGGTCAAAGCATTTTTGAAGTATATTTTTTACTTTATGTTTAATAATGATTATCCATTATATATAAGAAGGAAGCACATTTTGGCTCACAGATATATTTACAAACGTAGTATTTCTAAAACTGACTGCATTACTAAACAAACTCTTCATATAAATTCACTGATCTCTTTTACTGAAGGATGCATTGGTTTGAAAATCAAAGACTTACGTCATCCAAAAAATCAATCAGTGAGGATGAGGAAGAAGAAAAGGAATCCTATTTAACGAATACAGCAATAAAAAAATAGAAAATATGGATGAAGCAATTTAATAAGAACAAATAATAAATCAAAAATTTTGTAAAACAATTGAAAGGCAAATGACATTAATTCAAATAAATAAATGAGAAAAGCAGTCACTGTCATTGTTTTCAAGAAACTTTCATGATTCATTAATTACTTTTTAGAGTGTTTCTTTTTCCTTTTTCCAAAGGAATGAAATATAATTCATACACCATCCCCAAAGTATAATAAAATGAAGCTCATGGCAAATCATTAATAATAAAATTAAATATAAGCACTTATGAAAATAACAACTAAAAGTAAGTAACAGAATCTCTGCTTCTAGTTCTTCCCACCAGAATGTAACTTCTTTGTCAGGGGGACTTGTCACTTTGGGTCACTACTGTATCTCCAGCACTTAGAACAGCTCCTTGCATATAGACACATGATTCTGGTTTGCTGAATAAAAACATTACCAACTTAAATTTTTTGAGACAAAAATATATTTTATAGCATGACATTGCTTTTTTTCAGCCAAAAATTTAAATAAGATAAGGAATGACAAGTATTATATAATCATCATTTCATTATTGTGGAATCTGCCTAACAGTGGATGTAATACTTTTAACATGAAGCATTTCTTTATATACTTTTAAAAAAATGAACTGATTTGTAACAAGAAACACCAATACACTATTGTGAGCTTCAAATTTTTCACTTATTTTTTTTTACTGTGGCTCTGTACTTTGGAATAAAAAGTGTCAAAATTATTTTAAAAGTTGGGATTTGTTCTGCTTTTATTGCTTCTTAGGGAAGTTCAAATGCTTTTAAAACTAACAATGACTTTCATATTTACACCTTTCTTGGATGTTCTGTTAAATACAAGTGTGATTATATTTTCCATAAGAATCCAGAACATATTACTTCCCTATTATGTTGCTGTTTTATAGGATTCTAGATCCTTTTATGTGAGATGCAATAAAACAGTTTTATTGTAAATAAATTTTAAATCACAAAGTGAATTTTAAATTGACTACAAAGGATACTTGAAAAGTTCAGTACTTACTTCAAATTGATCCAGAGCATCGGTAGGCGTATTCAAAAATGCCAAGAAAGAATGCTGTGAGTCTTGGTGCTCTATACCTAGAAAACAGCAGCAACTTTTTTTAAAACTAGAACAATCAATACTAATTTTTATGGATAACCTTTCCTGTCTCAATCTATTAAATCTATTCTCAAATATCATATTTCAAAGCTGGTCAATATTATTAATGCTACATATTTGAAAAGCCAAATTACATTATTTTTTCCTAGACTACCACTCAACAATTAAATAACATCTACTTCTATCAAATATTTGTTATTGAGTTACTTGTTATGGGATTTTTTTCTTTTTCTATCTGGTACATCATTAAAAGACCTACATTAAATCTTTTGATAGTCTAGAGAGAATGTAGGTGCTTGTTTATGTGTGATTTTTCTCAGCTAATTTATCACCAAATGAGGTTTCTGTTTGAAATACGCGTACCAAGCATACAGCACAAGTATAAGTAATCTTTAATAAGAAAATAATGCAGTCATAAAACAAATGTATTTAATTATGAAAAAAAGTTAATCAATCTGACTGCAGGTATTATTCAACTAAAAGAATGATTAATCCAAACTCCAGTTTTTCTCAGATGAATTAAAAAATTCATACATATCTTGTGGCTATGATATTAACTTTAAACACATAATTTTCAAAATAATTTTTTTTTATTCTTCTTTTTTCTCTGGGTGCTGGGGATCCGTGGTCTTGAGCATGCCAGGCAAACACTACTACTAAAGGCACATCCCCAGCCCTCTAAAATACTTCTTAGAACATAAAAATGATGATAAATACTAGAAAGGATAAAACAAGAAAACAAGCAATCACACAATTTTGACTTCTATATCTTTAAGAAAATGACATTTTCTGTGTTTTCCCATATTATTTTCTAATTATATACCATAATTACCAGATGGGTCAATATGTTCAGAAATTTATTCAGTCAATAAATATTTGTTGAGACTATAACGTACCACTGCCCTAGATTCTGGGGATATAGGTGTAAACAAGGCATTTTTTTAAAAAGTCTTTGTCTTCATTTCATAAATGTCACTTATAATATTTAAGCAGCTATAATACATTATAACAGTGAAACTTTATTTTTGCAGTAATCAAAATCCAAACAATAAAGCTTTAGTGAACATCTCTTCAAAACAATGTGAAAAATTTAAGACTTTTCTTTTTCAAGTTTAGGACTAATTTTAAAATGATATAGTCAATGTCATCTGATGTAAATGATAATCTGCACTGGTTTTTTTCCTATTAAGTTGGCTTTAGGGCCACAAGTGAACCAGGTCTTATGTATACATTTTTATCTCTTCACTAAAAAATGTTTCTTCTTTTTACTCTTCATTAATTAAAACCCAGCCTGGTTCTCATTTTAGCATGATAGCTCATGTACCTAATTTGAGTTCCCATTCACTTTTTGGAGGCTCCTTCTTTCTCTTTTTCAGTAAGGAATTCCACCAACAAAAAAATTATTGAACATCAACTTCTTTAAATAGCTTTGTCATGTGAGCTCCTCTATGTGACTGCTCTCTGTATTCCACAACTTTAGATTGGATTCAAAGACCCAACCAGCTTTATCTCTAAGTATGTAATGGCACTGGGGAATGACAGAGAAAGAAGCCCATGGGCTTAATATAAACCCCATTAATTAGTGAAGTATTCAGTGATAGCCTTTATTAGGAAAATGAATTTTGGAAAATTGAATGTAAAATATCCCATTATTTAGAAAAATAACATTCTGAATTTATTTTTACTAAACCTTCACATTCTTAATATGTATATTATGGAAAGAAAGTTTAAGAAATGCATGTAATAAAGCTATAAAGCATATTAGCTTCCATATTAACAGAAAAAATACAAAAGTAATGTTTTCAAGAAAATGGTAATAAATTTGGGAAATCCCATAGGGCCAGCAACATTAAGCATCAAACTAGAAGGAGGCACTGAAATGTCAAAATAATTCTTCATTATTATACTGCCCAATTAATAAAAATTAGATTGCTCATTAGTTCTTTCATACATTGTATTCTCAACTCTCCTGAAAGTGAATCCCTCTCAAGATTTTGGACCTTCTAGGCACAAATAAATACTTGTTGAAGTCTCCTTACCATGTTCTGAACACACACTGCCACTATTGGACGGATTAATTTAGATGGTAACATTTCAGAGAATTATACAGTATAATTTTTCAGTGACAAAAATGTTAAATAGATAATATTTTTGAACTAGTAAATTTATGGGAAAGTGACTTCTTCTGTTACTATAACCTCTTAAAACAATGTCTAATAAATAAAACAAAATGACTCAACTAGTCTACCAAATGTGTGCATTTGTGTGCATCATATACACATGCACATGTTCCTGAGTGTACATGTGAACAATTTTCCCACCTACACAATAAGCTGACTCTTCTGTAATATGATATATTCATGATAAAACAGTAAGTCCTGATTGATGCAAACACACATTCCCATACCCTTTTCAGATCTAAGCTCTTCAGTGTCCTTTATCAGTTGTTCGATTTCTGATAGGAGTTCCAAGTTCTTCTTCTCTGAATCTTTTAGTTTACTTAAATAAGAAAAACAAAGAAAACATGTCATTAATTTTTTATTGCTGACTAGGGAGGCATCTTGTATGTAGCTCACTAAATTAGTTTAAATGTCAGTCATGCTAAATCATGGTACTGCAAACCACTCTAGGCAGGACGAATACAGCCTGTCACCTGCTATTACATAAATTAAGTTTTATTAGAACACAATCAGAATCATTCATTTCAGTACTGACTATAGTTGTCCTTAAACTATAATAGCACAGTTGAGTAGCTGTGAGGGAGGCTATATAGTCCTTGAAACCTAAAATATTTACTACCTGTTCCTTTATAGAAAAAGTTTCCTGGCCCTGAGCTACATTACTAACTTTAAAAATGTTATAAAATCAGTTGATTTTAGAGTTGTTATATTTTATTCATAAACAACCATAAAAGTAGAACATATTTGTAAGTTTATAATTATCAATTTGGTTTATATACCTGTTTTATGGATATTTTAAGTGTAAGCTCTGTGTCCTGGGCACAGGAAGATTATATTTATTCCAAATTACAACAGAGAATGACACTCAGTAGGTCTTTATGCTGTGTTTCATTCATATTCTCCAGAAAAACTTCTGTTCTTTTTAACGCCACATAAACACATGTAAGTAAAACATAATTCATGTGTGTCATTTATAACAAAAAGTTCATAATTCAACAGGGGTGCCATATATCTGGCCTTTGATTTGATTCAAAATATTAATGGGTGCAGTTTAACGTCTAAGGCTGTGATCACACCATCAAAAAGTGAATTTATAGCCCTGTATTTTTTCTCTTGATTTTGGAACTTTTAGTATTCTGAGCACCAAAAGGATCTTTGTGTTTATAGTTTCATTTGAAATGTGAACTTTGTTTTCTTCCTCTGTATCACCTATACTGACTTTTTAAAAAAAATACTAATCCCTGAGCCACATCCCTAATCTGTTTGTTTTTTTTAATTTCAGACAGAGTGTCACTAAGTTGCTTACTGACTTGCTAAATTGTTGAGATTGGCTTTGAACTTGTGATCCTCCTGCCTCAGCTACTGAAGCTGCTGGTACTACAGGCATGTGCCACCATGTCCAGCTTACACTTTTTTTTTTTAATTAAAAAGAACATTTTAAAAATGTTGATGGATCTTTATTTTATGCATTTATTTATATGCAATGCTGAGAATTGAAACCGGTGCCACACACATGTTAGGCAAGTGCTCTATCACTGAGCCACAACCACCGTCCAAGCTTATAATTTTTTTGTTATATTTTTTGTAATACTGAGAATCAAACCCAGGGCTTCGTGCATGCTAGGTGAGTGCTGTACCACTAAACCACATTCTCAGCCCCTAACTGATTTTGGAATCATATTTATATCCAATCCAATTATAATTTTTCATTTTATCATTTATATATTCAGAGTATGATTTTCTCTACTGTTGTGACAATAGAGGGAATGTGTTCATTAGCTAACAGCCTCTAAGACTAGGAGATTCTATTTTTTAGGAAATATAGAAACATGAAAAATAAGTATAATCAAAAGATATTCTGCCCTTATGAAATTTACCGTCAATAGAATCTTTATATGTAAAAGACCAAGGGTAGAGATCACAATTTTCAAATAATTCTATTTTGTTCTGACCATATGTTGCAATTTCACACAAATATATTTTTTTCTTTGTGGTATTAGGGATTAATCCAAGATCCTTGAACATGACAGACAAGTGCTCTACCACTAAGCTATACCGCCAGTCTTTTTAAAAATTTTACTTTGAGACAGGATCTCACTCAGTTGCCCAGGCCAGCCTTAAAATTGATCCTCTTGCTTCAGTCTCCCAAGTATCTGGGATTACAAGTTTGTGCCACTACAACTGGAAAATATGATATTCCTTCTCTTCCCACTCCCCAATACTGGAAATGAACCTAGAAGTGCTCTACCACTGAGCTTTATTTCCAGTCCTTTTTATTATTTTTTAAACTTTAGACAGTGTCTTACTAAGTTGCTGAGATGGGCCTCGAGCTTATGATCTTCCTGCCTCAACTGCTCAAGTCACTGGGATAATAGGTTTGAGTTGGTGTGTCCAGAACAAATATGATATTCTTGAACATGAGAAAAATTTAGATTAATAAACTATGAGAGTTAACTAAACTTTACAAATAAGGAGAAAATAAACAATGAAATATTATTAATTTTACTTTATGGACAAGTGAGAGGAAAATGAGGCTGTATAGAAATCTTACTGGGGCTGGGGCTGGGCTTAGCGGTAGCACACTTGTCTGGCATGAGTAAGGCACTGGATTCGATTCTCAGCACCACATGTAAATAAATAAAATGAAAGCCTATCAACAATTAAAAAATACATTTAAAAAAACCCTTATCACTACTTACAGAGCTTGAAAGCATCTGATCCTTTTTCAAATCTTTTTTCTTAAGCACTAGGCAGATAAGCAAACATGTAATATTTCTCTAAACAATTGTTAAAAACCTAAGAAATGATTCTACTTGGACTATATTTTTTCAATCTTACCATTCTGTTATGATGTTAGCTGCTTTAACTTTATTCAGCTCTTCTTGGATGGCCTGTTTGGCTCTTATTTCTGCATCCAGAGCTGACTGCAATTCCAGTCTAGCTGACATATCCAGTTTTGCAAAACGACGCATTTTCCAGGGCATATCCTATAAAGTAAAAAGAGTGTGTTTTTAGCTCCCTATTTTAAACATTTAAACTTAATAATCCAAGTGAATTCGAAAGCTACTTATAAGCACCAACCATTTTCACTTAGAATAGAAATATTATTTACAAAAATATGTTTTTTATTAAACTCAGAAATAACGGTCAATATTCACATACAAATGAATATTTCCTAACAGTTACTTCCAATAATGACTATTCATATGGACTACTGTTAAGCATTTATGTGTTGTTTTCCTAAACTGGTAAAGACGTAAACTAACTGATATCTCTTGAAAACTTACAGCAGGCTAATGCCTAGGAGAACTGACATAAATAATCAGATTTATGATAGTGTTTTTTGAGCCTTGTAATCTAATATGATAAGCTTCTATGCAAAATGGAAGAGCTTACAGTTGCTCGTGTACCCAAGCTGGCACTTCTTAATGCTTCCAATTCTTCAGTCATTTTAGAAGCTAAGGCCTGAAGATAGCCTCGTGCATCCTTTTCATCACTGACCCTAAAATACACACACATGAAGACAGAGATAAAGCACAAAAGTAAAAACAGAAAAACTTCAGTGACATATACGCTATTTTAAAGTATCATAAAGAAGCAATAGAAGACATCCAAAATGGCGGAGTAGAGGAGAACTGGTTACTGGTGTGACTCCGAGAGAATGGTCAGACACTCTCCCTCATAGGGGCGCCCTTTCAGGAATTTAAGCTTCATGGAGCCTGTGACAGGATTTTAAACAGTGGTTGGTTTCAAGTGCAGCCCAGAATGCGAGAAAATCTGAGTCCCTCCAGGCGAGGAAACCGGCCAGCAGCACAGCAGCCCGGGAACCCGCAGCAGACGGGTGGAATTGAGCCCTGGGAGTTCTGGCAGCATAGGGACACAGATTTACAGATCCTTTGGAGCTAGAGAGTGCCAGACTGCGACCTGTGACTCCGCAGGGCACCGGAGGAGGACTGAAGTTTGGACTTATTGGAGAAATAGCCCAGCTCCCTCCTCTTCACTGGACACCCCGATGCTGAAATGGGCAGTCGTCATCTTGGAAAATCTACCTCATCAGCTTTGGATAGTTGTAACAGGCAACGAGTTTTTGGCATCGGAACAGGTGTGTGATTTCCAGCACCCCAGCGGGGATAACTCAAAACCTTTCTCGCCAGCTCTCGGTGGCCATGAATATCAGAGCTGAGTGAAACTGAAAAGGTGCCTGATCTCCAACTCCCCCTCCCACAGCTGTGATAACCCAAAACATTTCTCGCCAGCTCTTGGTGAGCATGGCTATCAGAGGGAATAAGACAGAACAGGTTGCCGGTTTCCAACTTCCCCTCTCCACAGCTGTGATGACTTGGTGACTACCCAACACAGAGGTAGTTCTCAGCTGACCAGGAGCGCAGAGCACCGCAAGCCCAGAATGAACCCAGGACTATGGAGAAGAGTTCCAGTCACTGGGGCCTAGAGGGCAGGAGAAGTGAGGGGGATAGACCTGGAACAACCCAATGAGACTGGGACTGGAGAGCCACCTCACAAGGATCACTTCCTCCAACTGAGGGCAGAGACTCAACCTGGAATGCACAAGGACACCTACTGGAAGAGAAGAAGACAGAATTCTAAGAATGCATCTTTTTTTTCTGTTTCCTTCTTTCCTTTTTCTTTTTATCTTTTTCTTCTCTCTTTTCCTCATTTTTCATTTCTTTTTCTTATCTCTTCCCCCCTTTTTCTTCTTCTTTTGACTTTTCTTTCTCCTTGGATTCCTCTCCCAACTGTTACTATTTCTACTACATGTAATTTACTAAATGCAAATAAGTGAATGTTTCTATGCTTCTTATTGTCCTCCCACATACTTAGCTACCCTAAATTACCTCCTGTCTATTCTCCTGTTAATAACTTCATTAGAGTTCTCCAAAGTAGCTAAGATGTATTAACCCCCATACCCTCACATCTTTCCCGCTGAAGTCCTACACCCGACCCTCAGTTCTTTGTACGCCACCAGAATCTATAAGCCTTTTATGAAGCTAATTAATTTATTTTAAATTACAATTGAATCCAACATCTCTAGACATTATCTCCCATCACAAAGGAGAGCTCTCAGAACTATTAAAGAGCAATACAAATCTATAGGAGAAAAATAAGAATACAACAGTCACATAGAGCTGGAAACAAACGTGAGCAACATGAAAAAAACAAGGGAAAAAAGGACCACAAACAATGCAGGACAACCTAATAATAGAGGAGTTAAAACTACAACAGAAAGAATGTCAGATAAAGATTTCAAGATATACATGCCTCAAATGATCTGGAGTCTCAAGGAAGACCTTAGACATTAAATGCAGACAATGAAAGATCACTTTGACAATGAATTAGATAAACAAATCCAAGAAGCAAAAATCAACTCTACAGGGAGATAGAGGTTATACAAAAAAATCAAACACAAATCCTGGAAATGAAGGAAATTGTAAACCAAATTAAAAACTTAAATAGAGTATCATCAGCAGAGTAGAACAATTAGAAGTCAGAACATCAGACAACGAAGACAAAGTATATCATCTCAAAAAGAGTCTAGACTGCTCAGAAAGGCTGATAAGAAACCACGAGCAGAACATCCAAGAAATTTGGGATAACATAAAGAGACCAAATTTAAGAGTTATTGGATTAAAGGAAGATATAGAGGTCCAAACCAAAGGAATAAGCAATCTGTTCAATGAAATAATTTTAGAAACTTTCCAGACATGAAGAATGAAACGGAAATCCAAATCCTAGAAGCTTACAGGACACCGAATGTACAAAACCACAAGAGATCCACACCAAGACACATTATAATGAAAATACCCAACACACAGAACAAGGAGAGAATTTTAAAAGCCACAAGAGAAAGGAAGCAGATGATATTTAGAGAGGTAAACCAATTAGGTTAACAGCTGATTTTTCAACACAGATTCTGAAAGCTAGAAGATACTGGAACAATGTATTTCAAATGCTGAAAGATAATGGGTTCCAACCAAGAATCTTGTATCCAGCAAAATTAAGCTTCAGGTTTGATAATGAAACAAAAACCTTCCACGATAAATAAAAGTTAAAAGAATTTTCAAGCAAGAAAACTGGAGCTTCAAATCATCCTTGGCAAAACATTACATGAAGAGGAAATGAAAAATAACAACGAAAATCGACAGTGGGAGGTAGTACAGTAAAACTAATCAAAGAAGAAAAACAAATCAAGTTAAATAACAAAACAAACATGGCTGGAAGTACAAACCATATCTCAACAGTAACCCTAAATGTTAATGGCTTAAACTCACCAATCAAAAGACAGGCTAGTAGACTGGATTGAAAAAAAAAAAGATCCAACAATATGCTGCCTACAGGAGACTCATCTGATAGGAAAAGACATAAACACACTGAAGATGAAAGGTTAGGAAAAATCACACCACTCACATGGACCTCGGAAGCAAGCAGGGGTGTCCATACTCATATCAAATAAAATAGACTTCAGGCCAAAGTTAATCAAAAGGTATAAAGAAGGACACTACATACTGCTAAAGGGAACCATTCACCAACAAGACATAACAATCATTAATATATATGCCTCAAGTATATATGTGCAGCTATGTTCATCAAACAAACTCTTCTCAAGTTCAAGAGACAAATAGATCAAAACAAAATAATCAAGGGTGATTTTAACATACCTTTCTCACCACTGGACAGATCTTCCAAACAAAAGTTGAATAAAAAAACTATACAACTCAATAACACAATTAATAACTTAGACTTAATTGACATATATAGAATATATCAACCAACATCAAACGGATACACTTTGTTCTCAGTAGCACATGGATCCTTTTCAAAAATAGACGATATATTATGCCATAGGGCAACTCTTAGCAAATACAAAGGAGTAGTGATATTACCATGCATTTTATCCGATCTGATAAAATAAGGAAGAAAAATTCCTACATCACATGAAAAGTGAACAATATACTACTAAATGAACAATGGGTTACAGGAGACATAAAGGAGGAAATTAAAAAATTCTTAGAGATAAATGAAAACAAAGACACAACATATCGAAATCTCTGGGACACTATGAAAGCAGTATTAAGAGGAAAATTCATTCCGTGGAGTTCATTCCTTAAAAGAAGAAAAAGCCAACAAATAAATGATCTCACACTACATCTCAAAGCCCTAGAAAAAGAAGAACAAATCAGCAGCAAATGCAATAGAAGGCAAGAAATAATTAAAATCAGAGCTGAAATCAATGAAATTGAAATAAAAGAAACTGAAAAAAACTGAGAAAACTAAAAGTTGGTTCTTCGAAAAAATAAATAAGACTGACATACCCTTAGCCATGCTAATGAAGAGAAGAAGAGAGAGAACCCAAATCACTAGCATATGGGATGAAAAAGGCAATATCACAACAGACACTACATTAATACACAAGTTAATTAGAAATAATTTTGAAACCTTATACTCGAATAAAATAGAAGATAGTAAAGGCTTTGATAAATTCCTTAAGTCATAGGATCTGCCAAGATTGAATCAGGAAGATACACACAACTTAAACAGACCAATATCAAGTGAGGAAATAGAAGAAGCCAACAAAAGACTACCAACCAAGAAAAGCCCTGGACCAGACAGAAACAGCAGAGTTTTACAAGACCTTTAAAGAAGAACTAATACCAATACTCTTCAATCTATTTCAGGAAATAGAAAAAGAGGAAGTACTTCCAAATTCATTCTACAAGGACAATATCATCCTCATTCCAAAACCAGACAAAGAAAAGAAAGAAAACTTCAGACTAATATCTAATGAATTTAAATGCAAAAACATATCAAGAAGATCATGCACCATGATCAAGTGGGATTCATCCCTGGGATGCAAGTTGGTTCAACATAGGAAAATCAATAAATGTAATTCATCACATCAATATACTTAAAGATAAGAACCATATGACCATCTTGATCCAGAAAAAGCATTTGACAAAACACAGCACACCTTTATGTTCAAAACACTAGAAAAGCTAGGGATAACAGGAACGTACCCCAACACTGTAAAAGCTATCTACACTAATCCTCATCCAGAAAAATTGAAGGCATTCCCTCTAAAATCTGGAACAAGACAGGGATGCCCTCTCTCACCACTTCTATTCAACATAGTTCTTGAAGCACTGGCCATAGCAATTAGACAGATGAAAGAAATTAAAGGAATAACTATAGGAAAAGAAGAACTTAAACTAGCATTATTTGCTGATGATATGATTCTATACCTAGAAGACCCAAAAGGCTCTACCAAGAAACTTCTAGAATTAGTAAATGAATTCAGCAAAGTGGCAGGACATAAAATCAACACCCATAAATCAAAGGCATTCCTGTATATCAGTGACAAATCCTCTGAAATGGAAATGAGAAAAACTACCCATTCACAATATCCTCAAAAAAAAAAAAAAAACACTTGGGAATCAACAATAGAGGTGAAAGATCTATACAATGAAAACTATAGAACCCTCAAGAGAG